GGGGGGGGGGGGGGGGGAGAGAGGGGGTGCAGGGGCAGGTAAAAGGAAAACCAGTTTCTACTTCTCTCCCCTTTTTTTTTTTTGTCTGAGACAAAAGCAACGTGACAAACAACTCATACAACTGGTAACTAAGGAGACCATTAAACAATTACACAACTGGTAACTAAGGAGACCATTAAACAATTACACAACTGGTAACTAAGGAGACCATTAAACAATTACACAACTGGTAACTAAGGAGACCATTAAACAATTACACAACTGGTAACTAAGGAGACCATTAAACAATTACACAACTGGTAACTAAGGAGACCATTAAACAATTACACAACTGGTAACTAAGGAGACCATTAAACAATTACACAACTGGTAACCAAGGCAACCATTAAACACTAACAAGAAGTGAGTGGTTGATTTCATCTAGTTGGCTATCAATCACACAGGTTAAACCCTAAGACTAGTTCAACACGTACATAATTTCAACATGTACACACGTTTAACACGTACAAAAGTTTAACATGTACACAAGTTCAACCAGTCTAACCAGCCTATACGTTTAACACATGCCCCCCCCCCCTCCCAACATATTCCCTAGTCGGGTCACCACAGTTGTAATGTTACTGGCTAACAACGGGACTGACACCATCAGACTGACACCATCAGACTGACACCATCAGACTGACACCATCAGACTGACACCATCATAAACTATTCAAATCTTTTTTTTTAATTCTTAGTTAGATTAATTTTTTTTTTTTTTTGCATACGGCGATTGTATACACAATTTTGTTTCTCATATATTATATAGGCCCCACACCTACCCCCACAAGATGTGTAGCGTCCCCACACCTACCCCCACAAGATGTGTAGTGGCCCCCACACCTACCCCCACAAGATGTGTAGTGGCCCACACCTACCCCACATTCTCCTACTGCTTGTTTTTTGGCGACTATAAATAACCATAAATCTATTTTTACACAGGAAAATAACAAACAAAACATGTTATTTCTATTAGTGGGAAAACCCGTAGCTTGTGTGTAGATAGTTATGGTGATGTTGGTGAGCTGATGACAAGATCCTAGGTTTGTTTTATTGTTAGTTCAATGGTAGGCTTTGGTTTAGGCTTTGTTTGTTAGTTTATTGATAGGGGTGGTTGGATCAAGAACAAAGAATTTGGCGTTAGAACACTGCATGCTGCATCTGTGTTTGTAAGCGGGCCATATGTTTGTTTAACGGCTATTAAACGTAGAGCATGTATATATCTTGTATGTGTATATCTTGTATGTGTAGATCTAGTATGTAGCCTATATATTTTTTTGTATGTTTACAGTAATTGAAGCTTTAAACCTGAGAAATGACACATCGATAACTAATCCCTATAAAAAATGTAAACCGACGAATGTCCTCTGGTGGCCAGCTCAGTACGTGCTGATGTGGCTGTACACGCATTTAACAAAGTGCTCACCCCACACTTTTAAACACTGACCACCACACATACACACACGCACCGGCGAATGCCGCACCCCTCCCCTCCCCATAACGAGAACGTACCGACCCCCCCCCCTCCCCATAACGAGAACGTACCGACCCCCCCCCCTCCCCATAACGAGAACGTACCGACCCCCCTCCCCTCCCCATAACGAGAACGTACCGATCCCCCTCCCCTCCCCATAACGAGAACGTACCGACCCCCCCTCCCCTCCCCATAACGAGAACGTACCGATCCCCCCTCCCCTCCCCATAACGATAACGTACCGATCCCCCCTCCCCTCCCCATAACGAGAACGTACCGACCCCCCCCCTCCCCATAACGAGAACGTACCGACCCCCCCCCCTCCCCATAACGAGAACGTACCGACCCCCCCCCCCTGCAGACAACATGCCTCTCGCGTGTATCTACTCACCCCTGACTCACAAGCTCGGCATGTGGAGGAAAAAAATTCGAGCAGTTTCAAAACCAGGTTCAGTTACAGTCAGGTGCTGAGATAGTGAGGTAATAATTGGTGAGGTAGTGCTGAGATAGTGAGGTAATAATTGGTGAGGTAGTGAGGTAATAATTGGTGAGGTAGTGGTGAAATAGTGAGGTAATAATTGGTGAGGTAGTGGTGAGATAGTGAGGTAATAATTGGTGAGGTAGTGGTGAGATAGTGAGCTAATAATTGGTGAGGTAGTGGTGAGATAAAGAGGTAATAATTGGTGAGGTAGTGGTGAGATAGTGAAGTAATAATTGGTGAGGTAGTGAGGTAATAATTGGTGAGGTAGTGGTGAGATAAAGAGGTAATAATTGGTGAGGTAGTGGTGAGATAGTGAAGTAATAATTGGTGAGGTAGTGAGGTAATAATTGGTGAGGTAGTGGTGAAATAGTGAGGTAATAATTGGTGAGATAGTGGTGAGATAGTGAGATAATAATTGGTGAGGTAGTGGTGAGATAGTGAGCTAATAATTGGTGAGGTAGTGAGGTAATAATTGGTGAGGTAGTGGTGAGATAAAGAGGTAATAATTGGTGAGGTAGTGGTGATATAGTGAGATAATAATTGGTGAAATAGTGAGGTAATAATTGGTGAGGTAGTGGTGAGATAAAGAGGTAATAATTGGTGAGGTAGTGGTGATATAGTGAGATAATAATTGGTGAAATAGTGAGGTAATAATTGGTGAGGTAATGGTGAGATAGTGAGATAATAATTGGTGAGGTAGTGGTGAGATAGTGAGCTAATAATTGGTGAGGTAGTGGTGAGATAAAGAGGTAATAATTGGTGAGGTAGTACTGAGATAAAGAGGTAATAATTGGTGAGGTAGTGGTGAGATAGTGAAGTAATAATTGGTGAGGTAGTGAGGTAATAATTGGTGATGTAGTGGTGAGATAAAGAGGTAATAATTGGTGAGGTAGTGGTGACTAGTGGTGAGATAGTGAAGTAATAATTGGTGAAGTAGTGAGGTAATAATTGGTGAGGTAGTGGTGAAATAGTGAGGTAATAATTGGTGAGGTAGTGGTGAGATAGTGAGGTAATAATTGGTGAGGTAGTGGTGAGATAGTGAGATAATAATTGGTGAGGTAGTGCTGAGATAGTGAGATATTAACTAGTGAGGTGGTGGTGAGATAGTGAGATATTAACTAGTGAGGTGGTGGTGAGATAGTGAGATATTAACTAGTGAGGTGGTGAGATAATGAAGGTTAATGTGTATGGCTATGAAAAAATGAGAAAATGAGATATCATGAAATAACTTCATGTTGAGATGTAATGAGATGTAATGAGATGTAATGAGATAAAATGAGATGTAATGAGATGTAATGAGATGTAATGAGATAAAATGAGATAAAATGAGATGTAATGAGATGTAATGAGATGTAATGAAATGTAATGAGATGTAATGAGATGTAATGAGATGTAATGAGATGTAATGAGATGCAATGAGATGCAATGAGATGTAATGAGATGTAATGAGATGTAATGAGATGTAATGAGATGTAATGAGATGTAATGAGATGTAATGAGATGTAATGAGATGTAATGAGATGTAATGAGATGTAATGAGATGCAATGAGATGCAATGAGATGCAATGAGATGCAATGAGATGTAATGAGATGTAATGAGATGTAATGAGATGTAATGAGATGCAATGAGATGCAATGAGATGCAATGAGATGCAATGAGATGCAATGAGATGTAATGAGATGTAATGAGATGTAATGAGATGTAATGAAATGTAATGAAATGTAATGAGATAAAATGAGATGTAATAAGATGTAATGAGATGTAATGAAATGTAATGCGATAAAATGAGATAAAATGAGATAAAATGAGATGTAATGAAATGTAATGGGATGTAACTTAAGTCATATGTGTGGTGATTAACCCTTTAATAAACCCACACGCACACGCACACACTCACACACACAATGCAGATTAGCTTACACTCACACATACACACCAGTTTTTAATTTCTCGGCATGGAGGTAAAAATAGAACTGATGTCATACAAATGTTTTCCGCTTCTACGCAAGAAGAAAACCAAATGACGACCACTGGTCAAATATGAAGAGTTAACTTTGAATTGGATTGCCTTAAATTTCAGGCTACAAGGTCTAGGAGATTCCTGATTGTCTTTTTTATGATCGCTTTAATCTGGCCTGTTTCAAATGACCACTTTCAAATGGTCACTTTCAAATGACCTCTTTCAAATGACCACTTTCAAATTACCTATTTTAAAATGACCATTTTCAATTGATAATACGGAGTTTTGTTAAAAATAATATGTTTTATGTTTTAAATGTATAAACTAAATTTTATTTAAAGAAGGAAAATAAAAATAAAGGCATATTCGAATGTAGAAACGTAATTTTAATTATGCAACCGGAAAAGTGTTTATTGTTGAGACAAGTAAGCCAAAAAAAAAAAAAATGACGTCACATGCCGCATGTTTAAACTACGGAAAGTACACAAAACTAATGGCGTCATCTTCCAATTTTAGAATATGAAGAAATGAACTATTTCTTTCGTATTTGGTTTAGATCTATAAATCTACTTATCAAGACTTACGTTATGAAATGTATACAATTTTCTCGGCAAAAAGTAATACAAATTACTTTAAAACACTTTTTGACCAATAACTATTTTATAAAATATTTTTCCCAAACAATTGTAACATTAAAATATATAATCTGCGTGTAACGGGTACCAACGGCTGTAATGATATAATGGTAAGATGTAATGCTATTGTAATTAAGGTATAAGCCTACTGATATCTAATAAAGATGTAATGATTATATTATATTAATTACACAATCATTATTTAATGATGATGTAATGAGGCAATGAAGATGAAATGAATTACCTGCCATGCGCCCATGTGCAGCCCCCCCCCTACCCCCCCCCCCCACACACACACACATTGATCCTATACGGCAGCCTGGGAAGTGCGATATAAAACGACAATGTTTAGAGTACACTGCACCCCCCCCCCCCCACCATCTGTATTTAGATGTGAAAATGTTGCAGGCATGAATCAGTCTCGTGGGTATTTACTCTGGAACTTTCTGAGGAAATGGGAGGGCAGCTTCACACATTTCTCTCCGACTGCCTGGTGGGTGGGGTGTGGGGGTTGATCTAGAGGGTCCCTCTGGTGGGTAGGGGGTGGGGGTTGAGGGTCCCGGGACCTGATGTTTGTTGACCGAGGGACCAATGTTTGCTACAATTTGTTGTCGCCCGATTGAAGAGATTCATCAAAGAGACAACTTGGTTGAGGGGGGGGGGGGCGGCATATGTGACTCTGCTGAAACTGATTGCTGGTCGGGTAAGATGTGGGTGTGTGATTGTGTGAGGGTGGGTGTGTGTGAGGGGGTGGGTGTGTGAGGGGGTGGGGGTGGGTGTGGGGGGTGGGTGTGTGAGGTTGTGGGTGTATATGAGGGGTAAGTGTGTGAGGTTGTGGGTGTGTGAGGGGGTGGGTGTGTGAGGTGGTGGGTGTGTGAGGTTGTGGGTGTGTGAGGGGGTGGGTGTGTGAGGTTGTGGGTGTGTAAGGGGGTGGGTTTTAGATCGAGTACCGATGTAGCGACTACATTCTGGCAGTTGTCACCCCTGTCCTTTAGCTCGGTATCTGTTTACAACGTCAACTACATGGCACTATCTCCTAATTCTGTGTGCGCAGTTTTCTGTTTGCACATTTTTCTGGTTGCACATTTTTCTCTTTGCGAATTTTCTGTGTGCGCATTTTTCTGCTTGCGCATTTTTTTCTTTGCGCATTTTTCTGTGTGCGCATTTTTCTGTGTGCGCATTTTTCTATTTGAGCATTTTTCTATTTGCGCATTTTTCTGTGTGCGCATTTTTCTATTTGCGCATTTTTCTATTTGCGCATTTTTTTGTGTGCGCATTTTTCTATTTGCGCATTTTTCTGTGTGCGCATTTTTCTATTTGCGCATTTTTCTGTGTGCGCATTTTTCTATTTGCGCATTTTTCTGTGTGCGCATTTTTCTATTTGCGCATTTTTTTGTGTGCACCCGGCTAACCAGAGACTAGAGTAGCTTCCCCTAGCGACCTGCTGTCGACATATTTTTATTACTGATAATTCCTTCGTGATCCTGACGCCATCATGTACCAACTTTACAAATTTGTGTTTCTTTTGTAGCCGGAAAAATGTGTCAGTCTTTTTAGTCTGCAGGCTTTTGGGTAAATTGTGTGATTTTGTTCTTAAATTGTCTGCCTACAGCCCCCATCTCCCCAGTCTAAAGCCCCCATCTCCCCAGTCTAAAGCCCCAATCTCCCCAATCTGCCTAAATCCCCCATCTCCCCAGTCTAAAGCCCCCATCTCCCCAGTCTAAACCCCCATCTCCCCAGTCTAAAGCCCCCATCCCCCCATCTCCCCAGTCTAAAGCCCCCATCTCCCCAGTCTAAAGCCCCCATCTCCCCAGTCTAAAGCCCCCATCTCCCCAGTCTAAAGCCCCCATCCCCCCATCTCCCCAGTCTAAAGCCCCCATCCCCCCATCTCCCCAGTCTAAAGCCCCCATCTCCCCAGTCTAAAGCCCCCATCTCCCCAGTCTAAAGCCCCCATCCCCCCATCTCCCCAGTCTTAAGCCCCCATCTCCCCAGTCTAAAGCCCCCCATCTCCCCAGTCTAAAGCCCCCATCTCCCCAGTCTAAAGCCCCCATCCCCCCATCTCCCCAGTCTTAAGCCCCCATCTCCCCAGTCTAAAGCCCCCCATCTCCCCAGTCTAAAGCCCCCATCTCCCCAGTCTAAAGCCCCCATCTCCCCAGTCTAAAGCCCCCATCTCCCCAGTCTAAAGCCCCCATCCCCCCATCTCCCCAGTCTAAAGCCCCCATCCCCCCATCTCCCCAGTCTAAAGCCCCCATCTCCCCAGTCTAAAGCCCCCATCTCCCCAGTCTAAAGCCCCCATCTCCCCAGTCTAAAGCCCCCATCTCCCCAGTCTAAAGCCCCCATCTCCCCAGTCTAAAGCCCCCATCCCCCCATCTCCCCAGTCTAAAGCCCCCATCTCCCCAGTCTAAAGCCCCCATCTCCCCAGTCTAAAGCCCCCATCTCCCCAGTCTAAAGCCCCCATCACCCCATCTCCCCAGTCTTAAGCCCCCATCTCCCCAGTCTAAAGCCCCCATCTCCCCAGTCTAAAGCCCCCATCTCCCCAGTCTAAAGCCCCCATCTCCCCAGTCTAAAGCCCCCATCTCCCCAGTCTAAAGCCCCCATCTCCCCAGTCTAAAGCCCCCATCTCCCCAGTCTAAAGCCCCCCATCTCCCCAGTCTAAAGCCCCCATCTCCCCAGTCTAAAGCCCCCATCTCCCCAGTCTAAAGCCCCCATCCCCCCATCTCCCCAGTCTAAAGCCCCCATCTCCCCAGTCTAAAGCCCCCATCTCCCCAGTCTGCCTACAGCCCCCATCTCCTCAGTCTAAAGCCCCCATCTCCCCAGTCTAAAGCCCCCATCTCCCCAGTCTAAAGCCCCCATCTCCCCAGTCTGCCTACAGCCCCCATCTCCTCAGTCTAAAGCCCCCATCTCCCCAGTCTAAAGCCCCCATCTCCCCAGCCTAAAGCCCCCATCTCCCCAGCCTAAAGCCCCCATCTCCCCAGCCTAAAGCCCCCATCTCCCCAGCCTAAAGCCCCCCATCTCCCCAGCCTAAAGCCCCCATCTCCCTAGAGCCCGGTACTGTTTACACCTTGACTACAGCAACAGATCTACGTGTCTGTTGATAGAGACAGGATCCCCCCACCCCCCCCCCCCCCACCCCCCTTATGTTTACACACGTGTTAAAGTATGTGTACCATCACCTTGTCATCACTGCTAAAAATAGCCCGGTCTATTCTAGGGACGGATCAGTTCCCTCCCCTGCCGGGCGCGAGACTATCGTTTGCTGCGGGATTCGTTCAGATTTCTGGGCTTTAGACTTCATTATCGCTCGTAGGTCTTTTTGGTGTTTACTTCCGCTCTTTTGACCTGACCACTACACCAGACCACTGGACCACCAGACCACCAAACCAACAGACCACTAGACCACGATACCAGACTATGGGAACTAGACGTAATTGATGATCACGTGATCTGATTATTTAGTGTACAAAGCTAAACAAAATTGACAAGATGTCCAGGTATTTGTTTACATTGGACTGGTAGATCACGTGGTCTCAATCAGATCGAGGTGTATCACGCGCCATCATCAACTTCCGTTGTTTATAGTGACGTCACGAGAGGTGAACTCGTCTAAATATAACTTGATCACGTGATACAATAGCTGAGTCATAGCTCAATCTGGGCCATCTTGTCGTCTACCAGACCCTCTAAAAGACCCGTCTACCCGACCCAGACCCGTCTACCAGACCCAGACCCGTCTACCAGACCCGTCTACCAGACCCGTCTACCCGACCCAGACCCGTCTACCCGACCCAGACCCGTCTACCCGACCCAGACCCGTCTACCAGACCCGTCTACCAGACCCAGACCCGTCTACCAGACCCGTCTACCCGACCCAGACCCGTCTACCCGACCCGTCTACCCGACCCGTCTACCCGACCCAGACCCGTCTACCCGACCCAGACCCGTCTACCAGACCCGTCTACCAGACCCGTCTACCCGACCCAGACCCGTCTACCAGACCCTCTAAAAGACCCGTCTACCCGACCCAGACCCGTCTACCAGACCCAGACCCGTCTACCCGACCCGTCTACCAGACCCGTCTACCAGACCCGTCTACCAGACCCTCTAAAAGACCCGTCTACCCGACCCAGACCCGTCTACCAGACCCAGACCCGTCTACCAGACCCGTCTACCAGACCCGTCTACCAGACCCAGACCCGTCTACCAGACCCAGACCCGTCTACCCGACCCAGACCCGTCTACCAGACCCAGACCCGTCTACCAGACCCGTCTACCAGACCCAGACCCGTCTACCCGACCCAGACCCGTCTACCCGACCCAGACCCGTCTACCAGACCCAGACCCGTCTACCCGACCCAGACCCGTCTACCCGACCCAGACCCGTCTACCAGACCCGTCTACCAGACCCGTCTACCAGACCCAGACCCTCTACCAGACCCGTCTACCAGACCCGTCTACCAGACCCAGACCCGTCTACCCGACCCAGACCCGTCTACCCGACCCAGACCCGTCTACCAGACCCGTCTACCAGACCCATCTACCAGACCCGTCTACCAGACCCAGACCCGTCTACCAGACCCATCTACCAGACCCGTCTACCAGACCCGTCTACCAGACCCGTCTACCAGACCCGTCTACCAGACCCGTCTACCAGACCCGTCTACCAGACCCGTCTACCAGACCCAGACCCGTCTACCAGACCCGTCTACCAGACCCATCTACCAGACCCAGACCCGTCTACCAGACCCGTCTACCAGACCCAGACCCGTCTACCCGACCCAGACCCGTCTACCCGACCCAGACCCGTCTACCAGACCCGTCTACCAGACCCGTCTACCAGACCCGTCTACCAGACCCAGACCCGTCTACCAGACCCGTCTACCAGACCCGTCTACCAGACCCGTCTACCAGACCCGTCTACCAGACCCAGACCCGTCTACCAGACCCATCTACCAGACCCAGACCCGTCTACCAGACCCATCTACCAGACCCAGACCCGTCTACCAGACCCGTCTACCAGACCCGTCTACCAGACCCAGACCCGTCTACCAGACCCGTCTACCAGACCCAGACCCGTCTACCAGACCCATCTACCAGACCCAGACCCATCTACCAGACACACAAGTTCAGACTAAAGTCTACCTAAACTTGACCACACAAAGCATCCTCTACTGCAGGTTTCTATCGCAGGTATTCCACAGGTTTCCTGTCTCAGGTATGATATTTTTCCTGTCATTTCATTTTGTATCTGATGTTTTGCTCAGAATACGTTCGAACACTTCAAATCAGACAGATATTCAGACAGATATTCAGATATTCAGACAGATATTCAGATATTCAGACAGATACCAAAGAGCTTTCAAACAGCTTGTACCTAGCTCGGATCTACCGACCCTGACTATGATAGACGATCACTAGCGGGTGACAGGGACCATAACTCCAGCAAGTAACAACGTTAGGTGCTAGAGTTACCTCACCTGATGGATTGTTCCAATCACACCAGGCCATTATTCCGTGCTCCATTCTCCCGCTTTTGTCCCCTGGGAAAAAGATGAGTTCCCTCCCATAGTGAAGGGACATGGGTGGGGTGGCGTGAAGACAGGAGGTGGGGTGGCGTACAGGAGATGGGGTGGCGATTGTGTGCACAAGACTCCAACTCCTACACTAGAGTCTGACTCCTGACTCCCAATTTACAGCTGACTCCAGGTAGACAAAAACTTTAGAAAACATCTATACGCTGTAAAGCATGTCAACAGCGTGTCTAATGTTTCTGTAAATGTATCTTGTAAATATGTGTAAATATTGTTTCACTCTAGTGTAAATGTCGTGTAAATTGTGTGTAAACCATATAGAGATGTATGCAAATCTCTGACACCTTCATGCAACTATGGACCAGTCTATAGATTATCTCCCCTTAGTTAGATCTAGTTACCGCCCCTTTCCCGTGGAGTTATTCCTTCCCTAGCCCCTGATGGACCTGGGAGTCAGGTGCCAGCACTAGTCTTCCCCCCCCCCCCCCCCCCTAGAGAGCTAGAGGTTTCACAGAAAGACGTATCGCTTCCAAAATCTTGGCATCAAAATTCGCGCAGGAATTGTCAGGAAAAGTTTGAATATTTATTTTGGGCCTCTTTAACCAAGACGTTGGAGGGGAGGGGGGGGGGAGGAGAGAGGCCTAGAGAAACCACGTGATCTTTATATATAAGTGTCACGTGGTTGGAGGATTGCATCATTGGTCAAGAACTAGCCAATAGTTTAAATTCACTGTGTTGGCCAATTGGTTAGGTTTGAAATATTTATATAAAGATTTCTAGCAAAAAAAAAAAAACATCGTCATTTTTAAATGACGTGAAGATTATGACGTCATGGAGTTTACATCCTGACGTCACGCCTGTGTGACGTGGTAAAGGCAGGGTCAAAGGTCAGCCTACTGGCACCCGATGCCGTGTGATGTCTGCCCCCCCCCCCCCGGGGATCCCCCGCCTGACAAGTCTGTGTTTGTCATGACCGACATTGGATGTAGCCCCACGAGGCCCCCCCCCCCCCCCCCGCCAGATCAGCACATGTAGACATGATACCAATTAGCATTTACAACACACAAACAATGCGTTTATCACCGATTACCACAACGGCTAAACCGGGCCGTATTCGAGTTTGTTTGTATTGAAAGAAATCGTTTGCTGGGCCACTGAATTTTACTCGAGAAAAGATATCTGTCACAATGTCTGTCACAATGTCTGTCACAATGTCTGTCACATTGTCTGCTTACTCTACAGACAAAATAATCGAACTGGTTAGAACGACGATACTTACCGCGATACTTGAAAACGAACCGATACCATCGCCGACAAAGCCAGAAAGAAATGTGGTAATTTACTCAGCTGTTCATCCCCCCACCCCCCTCATTCCCCGTCGCGATTCCGTTGTCTTATTAAATTAGTTGTGCTTTAATTAAATGACATGTCGTCTTATAATTAACGTACAGGTGTTTTAAATAAATAACTGGTGTATAGTAAAACTACTAGTATAACAATTATTTTATTATAGGTGTTTTCATTAAAGATATGTATTTAATTAAATTACATGTTTAATTTATGTACGTTTTTATTTTCTTGTATATAAGAAGTATAGAGAAAGTCTTGTAATCGTGCAAAAAAAATATAGATTTTTATAAATCTCGACGTTTTACACCTCAATGATACGGAAAAACATAAGTTTGCAATCTTGTCCGCATGTCTGTGTGTCTGTCTGTGTGTGTGTAAACACGATAACTTGAGTACCGTTACAGCTAGGTTGATGAAATGTCATATATAAGTATTTTATCAAAATCATAGATCCGTATCAACTTTTGAGCGATTTCCGATAACCGGAAGTGGTACTTTTTCTACTTTGAATTTTTCAAAAGCCTATAACTTGAGTACTATTTCAGAAAGATAAATAAAATTTCACACGTAAGTAAAAGATCTAATTCTTAACCTTATATAAAATTTGTAGTAATTTCCGCTGACCGGAAGTAGTAATTTAGTAGTAAATCTCCAATTTATCAAAAAACGCATGTAAATTTATAATTTATAAAGTACTAATAATATTGCGCACTATTATGCACATTTTGTTTTGGCGTTCGCTTGGTGCGCAATTCTTTTTCTACTAGATTCTATTCTATTTTTAAAAGTTTAAGTAAACAAAAATCATGTCTATATTCCGAGTTGCCATCCCATGTAGTGTTAGAAATATTCGATAAAGTTTAGGGGAGATCACTCCCGGTTTATTTATTTAAATTACATAAGCTTTAATTCAAATACATGTTTTATAATTTAATTACATATGCTTAATTAAATGACATGTTATAATTAAGCTACCTGAGTTTGAATTAAATTATGTTTTAAAATTTAATTACAGGTGTATTTTAATTAAATTACATGTGTTTGATTTAAATTACCATGCCATACTACTTTACAAATCCGTACCTTGACTACCTCAGAACTTGTTCAGATTCGACATCAGCAGACGTGTCGCGAAAGGACAACATCAGCAGACGTGTCAGGCCAACATCAGCAGACTTGTCAGGACAACCTCAGCAGACGTGTCAGGACATCAGCATACGTGTCAGGACAACATCAGCAGACGTGTCAGGACAACATCAGCAGACGTGTCAGGACAACATCAGCAGACGTGTCAGGACAACATCAGCAGACGTGTCAGGACAACATCAGCAGACGTGTCAGGACAACATCAGCAGACGTGTCAGGACAACATCAGCAGACGTGTCAGGACAACATCAGCAGACTTGTCAGGACAACCTCAGCAGACGTGTCAGGACATCAGCATACGTGTCAGGACAACATCAGCAGACGTGTCAGGACAACAACAGCAGACGTGTCAGGACAACATCAGCAGACGTGTCAGGACAACATCAGCAGACGTGTCAGGACAACATCAGCAGACGTGTCAGGACAACATCAGCAGACGTGTCAGGACAACATCAGCAGACGTGTCAGGACAACATCAGCAGACGTGTCAGGACAACATCAGCAGACGTGTCAGGACATCAGCAGACGTGTCAGGACAACATCAGCAGACGTGTCAGGACAACATCAGCAGACTTGTCAGGACAACCTCAGCAGACGTGTCAGGACATCAGCATACGTGTCAGGACAACATCAGCAGACGTGTCAGGACAACATCAGCAGACGTGTCAGGACAACATCAGCAGACGTGTCAGGACAACATCAGCAGACGTGTCAGGACAACATCAGCAGACGTGTCAGGACAACATCAGCAGACGTGTCAGGACAACATCAGCAGACGTGTCAGGACAACATCAGCAGACGTGTCAGGACAACATCAGCAGACGTGTCAGGACAACATCAGCAGACGTGTCAGGACAACATCAGCAGACGTGTCAGGACAACATCAGCAGACTTGTCAGGACAACCTCAGCAGACGTGTCAGGACATCAGCATACGTGTCAGGACAACATCAGCAGACGTGTCAGGACAACAACAGCAGACGTGTCAGGACAACAACAGCAGACGTGTCAGGACAACATCAGCAGACGTGTCAGGACAACATCAGCAGACGTGTCAGGACAACATCAGCAGACGTGTCAGGACAACATCAGCAGACGTGTCAGGACAACATCAGCAGACGTGTCAGGACAACATCAGCAGACGTGTCAGGACAACATCAGCAGACGTGTCAGGACAACATCAGCAGACGTGTCAGGACAACATCAGCAGACGTGTCAGGACAACATCAGCAGACGTGTCAGGACAACATCAGCAGACGTGTCAGGACAACATCGCTGGTCTGGGATCAAAGCGGCTTCATCAACCTGGTGCCGATCGTCTGCTAATGAATTCAGGGCCAAGTGTTTTCGTATGGGCAAAAGTTTTATCAAATACGTAAGGTCACGCTGACCCGAAATACTAAGGGCGTCTAATGGGCTACACCAAAACTGTGTGCGAATGTGTGTGTGTCTGCGTGTGTGTGTTTGAATATGTGTGTGTGTGTTTTGTGTGTCTGCGTGTGTGTCTGAATATGTGTGTGTGTTTGTGTGTGTGTTTCTGTCTGAATATGTGTGTTTAGCTTGTGTGTATATCTGTGGGTGTGTTTTGTGTGTGCGTATGTGTGTGTGCGTATGTGTGTGTGCGTATGTGTGTGTGCGTATGTGTGTGTGTGCGTGTGTGTGTGAGTATAAGCTAGGTGACACAGTGATTAAATCAAATGAACCCTCTAGTCAGGGGCCACAACCACCAACGGTACAGTAGGCCACGAGTTGTGGTTCCTTTGTCCCGAGTCTTCTCATCAATTAGTTGCTCGTGCCAGAGACGGGTCGCCGGGTCGCCGGGTCATAGGACGGGTCAGGTTCTCCGTCCCGGCGCCAAACTGCTCCTCTATCAATTCTAAAATTGATCTTCTCCCTCCCCCACCCCCCCCACCACCAATAGCTGCTCTAAGACACAAGGCGTTGGCCATCCAACTGTGGCCATATGTATCACGGTGCTACCTGGCCATCTCTAACACGGTGCTACATTGGCCATCTCTAACACGGTGCTACATTGGCCATTCAACTGTGGCCACCTCTAACACGGTGCTACATTGGCCATCTCTAACACGGTGCTACATTGGCCATCTC